CAAGAGATGTCAGGCTAGCACAGCAGGATGCTGAAGCGTCCCTAGATGGGTAGCAGGGCTTCTCATACAATGGGTTGCAGCAATTTAGGAATTCACACTAGATAAATGCAGTAAGGGCGGCTGCTTTTATCTCTTGCAGATGGTGCCAGGACTAATATATTCCTGATCCTTATTTAGCTCTCTGTTCCTTTATGTTGTTCTCTGGAATCATAAAATTCTGTTTCATTAGGCAAACATGCACTGTTGTTGTATAGGCTTTTCCACTGACATCTATAGATGAACAGTAGCTACACTGTAGATGAACATTGACAGTAGCTGGCTTAACTTTTTTGTTTGGGTCTACATTTTCTAAAAAGGTATTCATACAGAAACATACTCTGTTTGTTCTGATAGTGTTTCTCAAACAGAGAGATAATGCTTGAACTTTGTCAAGTTTCTTACCACTAACTCTTATTCAGCTTTTATTTTTATCTTGTTTTCCAGGTACAATGGTACACCAACAGGCTTCTCTGCATTACACTGACGTAATGCTATTTATTACGTGATTCAAAGATCCTTGTCCTTCTTCTTTTCAAGGTGAGTGAAAATTTTAATGGAAGCTAAATGAAATGTACTATTTTTCTTAATAGCAACATATTACATTATCCCTGACATGGGCTAGATTAAGCTGATTAAAGCCCTGCCAGAGCAAGGCCCAGAGAAATAATCTGTCCTTGTTACCTACCATGGGGGGAGGGGGGGGGGGGAATCACTTTCTCATTACAGTAGTATTTAGTCTCCTGAAATATTACTGAGAGGTATTGCAGGTATTGTTTCTCCCTCTTCTCTTGCATTCTCTGCACTGTAGTAATTTTGCAGATGCCTGTATTTGCAAGGAGGGATTTTATTTTGGAAGTCTGAGTACTTTACGTTTTCAGAAATCTCTCAAAAGTTAGGAGCATACATGGACTTTGCTGAATGCTTAAGCAGCCTTAGAGGATGCTGAGCTGAAAGTCTTTCCTAAGTTTTTTTTTTTTTCCCCGATTTGCAATGGAAGCCGCATCATTTCAAAGTGTGTTTATCAGCACTATAGCACATAAACATTGCACAGTTGTTGGTTTTTTTTTGACATGTACCCAAGCAACAAATTCTCTGAAAAAAAGGATTGTAAGAAAACTACACTTGAAAAACCACATAGCCAAGGAAACACTAAGGACCATAAAAAGAGCTTCCAACACTCCCTGAAAACATTCATTTCCTATTGATTGTTTCTACTGTGAGGATTACCATGTTTGGCCAAGGCAAGTACACTGCCATATGTCTTCATGGTATTCAGCTTCTTGACTGCTGTGGGTTGTGATTCATTTGTTGGCTAGGACATTCACTTTTGTCTGCTTGCTCGAAGAGATTTCAAGTGCTACCCAACTCCTGTTTCAACAGAATTGCATGTCATCATGTGCACCCAGTATGTGATCGACATCGCTGCTGGGTCATCTTTTTAAAAAGAATTCTGTGATTTCAGAGAATAAAACTGGTCTCTTTTGTCCTGTCAGCAAAGCCATTCTGTCAGGAAAACAATTTCTACTCCTCATAAGTACACTTTTCTTTACAATTCATATCCTTCTGTGTCCCAGGAAACTGCCGAGATCCATTCCAAGAGGGAATAAAATGGACCAGATGTTTGCTTCCCTTTTCAAGGGAGTTAAAACCTACCTTATCCAAAACCCAGAGCAGTATTTGCTGCCCATTATTATAGCAAATGCTAGATAGGCGAGGAAAAAGTAATGGGCTTACCTTTAACAGTTTAAGGACATATTCGTTATTGCAAACTGCTTATTGAGAACTCCAGCCCGTCTCTTCTTTTCCCCTTGGCAAATTTTGTACTGAACATTTTAAAACTGACTTACCCACCATCTTTGCCATATCATCCAGCCCTTGCAAAGTTCCATACAGACTAAAGCAAAGCCAAGCCATCCTCCGAGATTGTCACCACAGCATTTTCTTTCATCATACCTAGTCCTGCACTTACTGCACTATTTCGGAGTCACGAATGGAAAGGGGCCTGTATTTATATAGTACTATCTCAGCTATATACAGGTGACAGAAGTCTAAGTAAATTCCTCTTTGCCCTCTTTTTTCTGGCTATTACAGAAGTGAACAGTACACAGAATTACAGTATCATTCTTTCACCAGCACAGTATTAAGAGTCCGTGGGTTGAGCTGTTTCTAAACTAATTCTATTTAAATACATCTGGAAAATAGTGCCCAAGTTGTTTTCCAGGCTTGGTGTAATTCATCGAAGTGTTGACTAAATAAACAGAAAAAACACTATTCTTTAGTTTCACTCAAAAAGTTCTTTGTGTGTGTTTTATTACATGGCTCTGGAACAATAAAATAAAGTAATTTTATACCTTTTTCTCTGTTCATACCCTTAAAGGATCTGGTATTCACAATGATTTTGTTTGCTACACTTTCATGCAGTGCTATAATAACTCTTTGCAACAATGTTTGAATATAATTTCTTAAAGCTATTTTAGTAATGGTTTTGTTAACTTATAGTTTTCTAAAAATTATTAAATTTATCTTTTTTAAAAAAATGCAATACATTTAGTTTGACAACCGGATCTTGTTCACTACAAGAAAAAGGACATCAGAAGGGGATCCTAAATCCCAAGTAAATACTGCCATTGGCAAACATGCTATATAGATCAAAACTAACAGTTTTAGGTTGCTTCACTTCTGCCACCTACTCGTTCTTTTAAGAAAACATAAATAGAACATAAAAAAACATTTTAGTCGATACGACAAAGTTAATCTTTTACCATAAATAAAAAGCTTTTTGAGGAAAAAATCCCCAAATCCCTAACCTTGTCCTCCAAATCAAAGCCTCAAGAACCTTTCAACCACCGCTACAGGAAAACCATGATTTTCCAGACTTCTGAAAATGCATTCTCCTAACGCCGGCATGTCCCTGAAAAACTGAAGTTCAACATACAGAAGATGGCACCAAATATCCTGAACCATTTGCTCAGCTCAAGACACCTGAACAACCCTTTCCATGTCTTACAGATGGTACTTGGTCCCTCAGAAAACTGCATATTAAGGCTGTTCAAGCTTTTGCAGTTGTTTGCCATTCAGTTGCCTCTTCCTGTATCTTAGCCAGAAATAACCTTCACTATAACTCAACTCACCATTTTAGAGTAACACTGAAGTCTGTGATGACTAACTTGGCTGTTCTGCAAGGACTGAGGCAGAAACGACAGTGTAACTCAAAGAGGTCTTTGCAGTTCCTTTCAAGCTTTGGATGCTTGCTAATAGTAATTTTGTCCTAATTATTGATAGAAACTCTGTCAGTTCAATTACTCATTTCAGAAAAAACCTCCGGAATCCTTTTCCAATCACTAAAATACTAAAGCACAATAAATGATTGCCAGACAAACATTTACAGAAAACAGGCTGGAAAACAAATGACAATCCTCAGCTGAGTGTCACTTCTGGCCTGAAGGCCCTGTATTCTCTGACCCTATGTGACTGCGTGAATGTTACTGCATGAAAAATAACACCTGCTTGCTCAACACTAATATTTGTTCTCCTAGGGCAGACAATTTGGTAAAACACAGTACATTCCCTTCCAATCAAAACAAGCAATGAAAAAATACACGTGCTCTGATCAAATGATTAATTTTTTTTGTTTGAGAAAACTTAATTTCAGGGAATGAAGAACATGAGAACACTGTGTACCAACAGCACGTATTAGGATCTGCTACTCCTGAGCTCCCCTCTAACTGGTGGGGACAGAATTATTTCAGGGCAAGAGACAGATGAGAGCTCAACATGCATGCAAAAGTATGCAATAAATCTGATTCATGGAGCTTGGCTCAGAACTAACTTTATAATATTTCTTTTTTCCTTATTACACTACAGAATAAAAATAAGTAACTTCAATGCTATTAATACAAGCTAAAAGGTAATTATTCTTTAGTCAATTTAATGAGGAAGTCCAGAACTTCTGGACACTTCACAGCTGCAACACTTGAAAACGAAGTATTTTCCTCTCACCAGCAAAAAATGGTTATTTTTTGCTATGGCTATTGCTTTGCTTGAAAGTCTACTTGGAAATTCATAATTCTCACTGAACCATAGAATAATTTGCCAGGTATTCTTAATGAACCAGAGGAAAAACCCTTTCTCTAATCACTTTATAACAGATGTACACTTGGAAGTTACCCCAGAAAAACCACTCAGCTGTCATGTCATCAATATTGCAAACTCTGCATTCAGAGAACTACCTTCATTTTTCTTCCTCGTAGCTTTATCCTGGGCAACTACTGTGTCATTTTAAAGCAAAAGAAATTTATTTCAAAACGCTAATTTAAAAAACAGTGCTCTTAAAAAGCTGCATCCTTACCTCTGTAAATAATGATTAATTACAAACAGCATCAGAAGTCAGCAATAAGAAATTGCTAGAAGTCCCTGGGCCTTATGAAATTCTGAGAACATTCTAAGGTCCAAATTCAATAAGGCTTTAAAATATTTCAAAATTCCCATGCTAGTTCATATAGCTCAGACACAGAATTAAATATCTTGCTGAACTTGAGCCTATGCCTAAAATACAATCTCAGAGTATACAAGCTCAGTCCTGCATGAGGAATTCTCCATGGCAAAATATTAAGAAAACTATTGAGTGTGTGTGACCAATACTGAATATTCTTCAGCAGTGAGGTTTAATGGGTAACTCAGGGACTGAATTAAAGCTCAAACATTCAAAACTGGTATAAAAAGCATCTTTACTGAACAACTTACCAAGAGGAAATTATGTATCACTTGAGGCCACTAAACAAATTACATTACTGATACTGACAAGAACTCAGTAAAATGTTTGTTAAACATTCTGCTTGTCCACAAAGTAATAATCAAAAAATATACCAAAGAGGTCACATTACACAAGCAACCATTTATAAAAGTCAATGTAAAAAAAAAGTAAAAACAGCAATGGTATTTCTAACTGCCATTTCCCCTGTCCATTTTCCAAAACATGAGGAGGACAAACGTCCCACAGATCACTTTTCAGTCTCATTCTCAGGTTCACTGTCTCCACTATCACTGTCTCTTCCGGGGTGTTCTGGCATTGTTCTGTGTTCATCCACTTCATCCACTTTCAATTCTCCTTCCTTTACCATTTCTTCCCCTACTTTACTTTCTTCCTCTTCTCTATCTTCCTGCATGCCTTGCACTTCACCTTCTCCTTCAGTCTCTTGAGTTTGAGTGGTTTCTGGTTCTTCAATCATGGCAGGTGGTGGTAGTAAACGCTAGATAATCAGAAAAGAAGGGATTTTCAGTTTTTACAACAAATAAGTCTATTTGGGCATCTATTCCTGTTTTAGCTTGAACATTAGAGAAGTTAAAGACCCAAAATTCAGAAGCCCTAATAATTTGTAGGCATTCAACTCCTATATAAAAAAAAAATAATAATGACCTTGGGTCACACAATAATCTTATTAGACACATTTTTTGCTTTTAAAGACAGTGTTAAAAACTCAGGACTTCCAATTCAAGGATATCTAACATATTTTGTTATCCCAAACAGTCAGACAAGTAATAGGGCTAGGGTAAATCTCTGCTTGGAGCAACAAGCACATTCCTACTGTAATCTCACCTATTTAACAAGTCTGTCTTGAACAACTCAATTTGGTAGTTTCCCCTTGAAACATCTTATAAAATGCTCTGTGACTTATGTGTACTTACACAAGTTTCATCCACAGCTGTAAATGTAAAACAATGCAAGTTCCTGTAAATATTTTTCACCTAATACTTCAGGAGAAGTAAATTAGTATATTCAAAGTGTGCTGCTCGCAACCAAACAGGCAGTTTGCAAAACATTATAAGCAACAACCGTAGTCATAGTGCAGACTTTGGAAAAAAAATGTTAGGAATACAGTGAGCTGAAGAGTGTGGATGAATGCTACACAATTCTAGGCTGTACAGAGACACTAATACTTCTTCCACCCTGACATTATTTAGTGACATGACAAGTATTTCCTTGGAATACTGTGAAGCATTTTAATGAAGCAAAATCTTGATTTACTTCTTATGGATGATTGTTTTGTTTTGGAAGTAAAGGCAATTTGGCTTCACATGACAAATTAAGTATTTAATTTATAGTAAAATCTTATCTCCAATTAAGTAACACGAATATTACAAATTGCTGACCAGCACAGGCAAATCTATGAAGCAATTATGACTACCAGCAGAAATATAAAAAGCATTTTTTATAGACTTTGAAGTTATCATACTGGTCTCTACAATCCATCCGTTCACAGAAAAAAAATGTATTTCAAATCTAGAGATCCTTTAATTACAAAAATACACTCTTGATGCATGAGACAAATTCAGACTTCTGTGGTTTAGGTAGATGCATCCTGTGCTTTGTGACTACGACTGTTAAGACTAATGTAAAAGAAAAGGAGAAAAAAAAATCATGTACTAAATAGAGCAAAAGGAATTTAATGCTTGAATTATTTTATTTTTTGTAGTTCATTTTGACTTCTGCAAGCAGAATGTGATTCATTGCCACAGCACAGAAACGGTAGGTTTGTAACTTATTTTAACTAAAAATTAGTTTGAGAATGCTAAAACGAATAACTGGTATTAGCAAAAGGATTTGGTCCATATTTGATTAAGGTGTCAAGCAAATCCATCTTCTGGTAAAATCCAGATGCTAAATGATAACACCTGCTTTTCAGGACATATATACACTTCTCAGTTTTGACATGGCTATTCATTAGCATCTGAATGTGACCAGCTGCACAGTCCACTGAGTCTTCAGAGGCTTCTCACAGGTAGCAAAGTACTTCAGATTTAGCTGAAGCTGTGCCTCCCAGAAAAAAAGAAAAAAAAAAAGAAGACAGTAATGCAAGATACCCTGGATAAGAACTGCAGAGAAAAAGAAAATTTTCTATCTAAAAGTCTGACATCCAGTTAAACAAGTTTTGGGTTCTGATCTCTACTGATTACACTGCTCCATATTAGAATGGAAGAGTCGGTGACGGAAGGAAAGAAGGTGACAGAGAAACGTCCTTGCATTAAAGAATAGGACCTAGATCTTGCAGACAACTACCTTGGACTAATCTGTTCAAGGATTTAGGGCGATGATCTCTTCTCAGACAGCTAACAGAGTGAGTAGCATCTCATCGTTTTTCTCTACTTTTGGAAATCCTTCAGAAGAGCAAAAACCAAGAAGGGAACTTCAAAGTATGTTGAAAGAATAAATCACAGATAATAAAACGATTAACTCCAGACATTAAGTGAAAGTTGATGCAGTTGAGGGGGAGCATTTCAGGCCTCTCCCGTTCTGTTTACTATCAACTACCTCTAGGCATCTACAGATCTATGTATGCTGAAAAAAGACAGCTTTCTGCCCAGTATACTAATTCAACTACCTTAAAGCTCCGCCCACATACATAAGACGACAAGGTGTTTCTCTTGGGTTCTGAATGCTGCTGCAGGGTTTAAACACTATCAAAATTAGGTACAGAAGCGAGAAAGCAACTACAACTGCTTCCAGCCCCATGTTATTTTGCTTGATGCTGAACTAGTGCTGAGAAAAACTGCTCCAGAATAAAAACACTACAGCTGCTAACCAGCCCAGAAAGTGCAGTGAATGAAGGCGCTTAAAATGGTTCCCAGACATGATTTGGCTTTTCTACCCACTGCAGGTTTGTCATGAAAACTTCTATTACAAAGCATTATTGGATCATGTAGTGGTGCTATAATACCACTAGCTGCACTTACCTGAAACAGCACACAAGCTTATTTCAAGTAAACACTAAACGTGTTAGGCCTTTGGTATTAATGAGGAATTTTGGGGCCCAGGCTGAGCCATGTCTAGCATTTGGCACCAGTTACTGTTGGTTTTGAGGCCTTAATTTACTAAAAGATACAGCTCCTGCTACTGCAAGATTTTATAGACCTCAATATTCTCTCTCCCAGTCATAAAACCTTCCTGAATTTTAACCGTAATAGGAACAGTCTCAAACCTCAGCAGCAATTCATGTCACTTACTAAAAAACAATTTTAGTTTAAATGCACACCTTCCGAAAGTTAGAATGTCCTTACCTGTTGATAGTGGCGTGTACTCTGTATCATGTGCATATACATATTGTACACAAAGTTTGCCATTTGAGGCATGTTCTTAATAACATGTATTTGGTGAGATGGTCTTTCTCCATTCTAAGGAAGACAAAAAAAAGTTAGACATTCAGAAAACAAAGTAAAACAACCATTACTCAAAGTTTACTTGTGTTACACAACATAAATCGCAAGAAATTAAATAATGCTTTTTAAAGAAAAAAATTGCTGAATTCTTTGGAAAGAGAGGAAGTGTAGGTCGTATATTTTGGGGAACTGGATTAATCATGATACTGCAGCCCAAAGAAGACATTTCAAAAAGAAAGGCTGAGTTCTGATGCTTACTCTATAAAGCATATTTTTTGACTTGAGTCATTTAACATATTAAAGGCACAAATTTACAATCCGATTAGGACTTAGCCTACTTGTCCACAGTCCAGCTCCTTCTTGCTCACACTTGATGACCATGCATACTGTAGTCTTTGTTGTACAGTGCACCTCAAAGTTTCAACTGAAGGGCTCCTTCCCAAGCTTCTGAACAGCACTTAAGTCCAGAGAAAGATCTGTAACTGAATTTTGGGTTCAGGTAGGCAGCCCTTTTCAAAACTCCAAGAAGCAAAACAGGTATGTTCCTCTGTTTCTTCGTTTAGCATTCTACTCTGTGTCCTGTGCTTAGATGCTTAATATAAACCTTTCCCTGAAGATCTAGTGCAGTATTACGAATTAATTTCTCATACTCAGAAATCTAGCTCAGCAACAAATCTCTTTTGTGATTCCAGATCCACTTTTTTTTTTAAATAAGTTGATTGGTTATCCTGAATTAGTCACAGAATCACAGAATGTTAGGGGTTGGAAGGGACCTCCCACAGATCATCGAGTCCAACCCCCCTGTCAGAGCTGGACCTCTTAATAAAAAGCAATTAGCTTTGTGTGGTGGGTTTTTTTTTGAGAAATAACAGTATTTTGTTCCATAACAAGTCCAAAAATGTGTAACACCAAAAATGCACTGAAATGCTGGGGTCTGAACCCCAAGACCCGAATTAAGGTTGACATATGGGTGATTCCCACAGCCCTTCATAAAGAGGTGGTGAGTTTGCCTTATAGCTTCCCCCCAGGGTGCGGCCGGCCCTGCAGGGAGAGCCATAAGGGAAATGAGCCCCAGGGGTCCCGCACGGAGTTGACAAAGGTCAGGTGTCTGCTTGGGGATAAAAGCTGGGACCACTTCCAGGAAGGGAAGCGTGCACTCACACAGGTGGAACAGGCAGAACACAGGTAGAAAAAGCAGGCAAACAGTCATATTGATAATTAAGTTTTGTTGAAAACTCAAAACCAGTGTGTGTCATAACGAAAGTTAACTCTGGTGACATAATTATTCAAGTGCCACTGGTTTGGCAGAGAAGACAGGCCTACCACTTATAGCCTACCCTAAAAAGTGGGAAACACACACACACACCCATTACAGATAGCAAAGTTCAGAGCAGCTGTTCCTACCTGTCTTGCAGTTGGAAAACATTCTGTGGGAATGATGTGAAGGTGAAGTGGTCGAGCTGTGAGCTGGCTGAAAGCTGGAGTTAGCTCAAAACAGTTTTGAAACAGTGACACCCTTGCAAAGATATAAAGCCCAAGCCTGGCTCTTGACATTGCAACAACTAATCGTCGGACATCCCTTGAAAACAAACAAAAACAATCTTATTCTTTTTCATTGATGACATAATTGCAATAAAAATAACTAGAAGCATACAAAAGTCTCAGTTAAGTGAAATGTAGAAACCTGCTAAAAATATTTTACATTCATGTTTTTTCCCCTACACACTGTTTCAGTAACTACCAAATCCTAGAACCACTATATAAAAGTTCACTGTACCAATAATGATATGAAAAAATCACCCTTTACTATAATGACACTATTCTGTGCTTCACAGGTAAAGAATTACATTGAAAACAGATCACGAGTGCGTATCTGCATCCCTGAATGAGTAAACTTGAATTTGATTAACTCACCTAACTACTGATGATTAGACAAGTCTTCCTCCAAGCCACCCCAATGCAAACAATTTAAACTACACATCATAATGTAATTTATAGAATAATCAAACACTTTTAACACAAATTAAAAGTTCACTTACAGGAAAGAATCTATGAGAAAATTTAAGCCTGCATTTGTTCAACAAGCATCACATTCTTACCATGAAACCAAGTTCAGCCTAACCACAATAAAATAAACTATTTATAGTACTAAATTATAAAGTGGTTGCAAAATGGGTACCAGGCAGTTATAAAAGGAAGTACGTCTGAACTTCATTCAATGCATAGCATGAAACTTAATTTCTACTGTGTACTTAAATAATTGAACACTTTCGTATAATGTACTATAAACATCTTTCTGATATAGAAAAGATGTAGCTTAATTACACTACAAGAATATCTTCTTACATACCTAAGGTGGCCTACAGCTTTGGTACGCACTAGTGAAAGGAGAATATAGTCGTTTTGTTGACCTTGAAATCTGTCCACAGTTGTTACCTAGAGAATCAAAAACCAAGAAAAAAGACTCCATAGGTTTTTTTTCTTTGCCTTTTCAATTAAAACATGACACCAAAATTTTAAGATCAATTTTGAACTAAGATTGCAGTAAAAGGGAAAAGAAAATGCTTTAACTATGCTTTTTTTTGGCCTCTAACAAAAAATCATCAGCCTGTTCTCTTTGGGATATTTTGGGAGCAGCTTTTGTCTGACTGTATAGTGTTTATTTTACATTTTTATTCAATGTAGACAGCTAATGGTGGTGTGCTAACACCAAGACTGTGGAAAGCCATTTTATAATACAGAGTCTTAACCTGCAGAAATAGCATCAGACTTTAGTACTAAACTATGTTTTTTGTTTCATCAGATTTGTCATCATACGTTTTATCAAATCACTTCCACTCTTAGTGAATCTTCCTAAAGGTGTGGTTCTGAGGTGGCTTTTGATTTTGAGGACAAACTAAATGAAAAAGAAAAAAGAGATATTCTGTCCCATGTAGTCTGCAGCCTTTCTAACTTCACTGACTTTACTGGGTACGCTGAATTACAAACAGGCAGAAAGAAGAGCACTATGCTATGAAATTCCACAGAATGTAGGTTAATAAATGTGTAGTTAACCAGGGAATAGTCGCACAGAAAGTTATGAAGCTAGTCTGTTCTGTAATCTGCCAACTTAAACCCAAACCAACCAGAACCACTCCAATGACTGATGTATTTTCAAAGTCACCTTGTTTGGCCGTCCAATGAGTGGATTATTTCCACATCGCTGATTAATGACATCACGGATCAGATGTTTCTGTCCATTGTATGTTGTCAGGATACTTATCTTGTCTGCAGGATAACCAAGCAGGCACATATACATGAAGAGTGCCACAACATACTCTGCTTCACCAAGATTCTTAAGTTTTAAAGAGGAAAGAAAAACAAAACAAAACAAAAAAACAACAAACAACAAAGGAAAAAAATGGATTATTCAACTTGTAAGGCTGGAAGGAATAACACCTGTGACATTATCCATCGCTGGAGGTGCTCTAGACCAGGTTGGATAGGTCCTTGTGCAACCTGGTCTAGTGGGATATGCCACTGCCAATGGCAGGGTAGTTGTAACTAGATGACTTTTAAGGTCCCTTCCAACCCAAACCATTCTAAGATTATCATTTATTTAGACAAAAATCTCCATGCTGAGAAAAATGGCTCTAGATCTGATGTTTCTTTGCTCACTTAATAAAAGCCATTTTGAGAGGAAAAAAGAACCACAAGGAGGTTTAATAACTTGATTGTTTCCTCTTCAGAGAACTGCTGAAAATATCTACATCAATGTATTGTTAGCTATTGTCACTTTCCAATATTTCCTCAGAAGCTCTGAATTTTATTTCAACATGATTAAATTCTAAATATTTAACAGCCCCTAAATATAATTTAAATGTTTTACCTTCTTATTATATTTTTTATTATATTTTGGGACTATTAAATATTTTTACATTTGTATCTGAACGCACTTATATACTCAGAGCTGTCTGCTCAAAGGAACTGCCATCTCAACCGTATTATTACGGAACTCAACCAATACAGTATTTCATTTTTCCCTTCTTAAACATCACACACACAAAAAAAACAAACATGAAAAAATCCCACTGTTATCCAAAACTGTGGAATTATTATTTGTTAAAAAGTATTAGAAGCTGATAATCTATGGATGTCTGTATTTAAATACAAGCATTTAAAATCATTTAGCACCAATATAGCATGGTTCCAAATAAGCACACATAAAAAGTTGCAATGACTTATCCATTGCACCAACTCTCCAGTAAGCTGAACGTATGAACTCACTGAACTAGAATAACTGAACTCCTCTTTTAACTATCAGTTAGGTGACAGATGTCTGAATTATCAAGTCCAGTTATTTCTACTGCAGACCATACCTCTTAAATTTCAAATGACCAGCTCTTTGTATTTAATAACCTGTTTTTTCTGTGCAATTACTTATAATAAAGAACATTCATCCCAAAGCATCACACTTCTGGCTACAGTAAGTTTTGTCCTATCTCCAGACTGATGTTACTCATAGCCTGTTTAAACCCATTTTCTATTAGCAGAAATTATCTCTCATTTTAAAAAGTTGTTCACAATTGCTCACATTTATTCCTACTCTATTTATATTGGGAATCTTATCCCCACTTGGTGTATGTTTGACAAGATTGGACATAACAGTTTCATTTATTTTTTCTCATTAAGTGGGCTCTGCGTTACTTGGAAAATGCAGTTGCCAGGCACCCCCATCTGTGGGTGTAAAGCTATTCTACAAATTTTAATCCCCTTTAAGTCTTGAAAGAAATACCCAAATCCATAAAGAGAAATAATACATGGCAGCAATCTCTGTTATCTCATGAAAAACCATGCAGTGTCACCAACAGATTCTACTATTATCTCTCAGTCCTCCAGATCATGAAAAAAAGCCCACCCTCAAACTATAGGAAGTATTAGAAAAGTACAACTGAATTAGAGTGGGCTTCAGTTTGCCATAAGGCAAAATAATGTTCCACAATGAATTACACACCAAATCTCAACTCTCCCATAACACTGAGAAAGCAGACAGCAAGAAAAGTCATTAACTTTGAGCAAAAGCACAACACAATACATTATAATTTTCAACATTCAAAACTCATTAAAAGGAGAAAAAAAAATAATGCATATGCATGACTCAATTATCAAAGAACATGAATTAAACATCAGTTTACTTTATTTTGATATTCTGCCTTCATTGCACATTTCGTAAGTGGTATCCAGATAAATACAGTATGCCTGTAGTAATTCTCTTACCTGATAGAAATAAGGATTGGGTTCAGACTCTCCCACACCATTGAAATCTTCTACATTTACAAGCTGGAAGTCGTACAAAAACCCAGCGTTGGCTGTTCTGAACTCTGGAAGAAGCTGCACGTGAGGCAGGTTACCCAGGTTCTTGTAACGCCAGTTGTAGAGGTTACATAGACTGTTTAAAAACACAGGGAGACAAACCCTGAACAGTTAAAGTGGGTTCTTGAAATTCTGCCACAAAATAATTCAGATGCACACAACCCCTCGCTTTCAAGATTAATGCTTCTGTAGGTTTTCAATGAAAAACAATTTTGCTGGATAAATGAACACAATTGCACAAGCTACCCAGCAATATTAATTTTTAAGTTTCAATTCTGTTCGGTTCTCTCTGACAGAAAACTTCAGATTTCACTTCAGTACAGCACACTCAACCTTAAACCTGTTCCACCTGATCAGCTTTTATCTGAAAGGCACAAATTTTGCAAAGACACCTAGTAGGAATTTTCATGGGTAACAAAACTTATGGGATATTAATGCTTCTTTACAGGATGGAAGGAGAGAGGGAAAAAGGATTTTCTGCATTATCTGTTGTAAAGTTTCTTACTGCAAAAATTTATATTCTTAATTTGTGTATTGCCATTTATTAGCATTAGAACTGAAAAGAAGCAACTAAAATCTACCCTATTTAGAATCATCACTGTTTTTTATAGGGAGAATAATATAACCAAAATGCTTTGTTCATAAACGCACAACAATATGCAGTTCCAGGTAAAGTAGCATATTGTTCATGGGGAAGCTACTGATGATGAGAAAAAATAAGTGCCATTGTATGGAAAAAGGTATGGAAAAAATCCCTGGTCAAGGAATTGCATGTAAAGTGAAGTAATTCTTCTGGTCTCTTACCTCTAAGAAATCTGTTGAGATATTGCAAAACAGTAGACAGCAAAATAAACTTTATCTACTCAGATATAATTTGCATTTTAAAATCTTACTGAACTGTTGTTGATATGATTGGAAAATGTTCTACCACCACCCCTTCATATTGTTCACTCCATGTTATGCCTTTAAAACTAAACCTAGAGTAGCAAGACCTTACATAAAGTAATTTTCTCTTCTTTGGTTTTGTTTTTTCTTAACATGACACCACAAACATGCACTTTACACAATACATTTCACATCTAAATTACTACAGTGAAATAACAAATACCTAGATAAAAAAAGAAAAGTATCTACAGAGGCACAGCATCTGTTTAATATAATAAAGGGCTTTATGTTCTTGTGTTGACAACCTGGTTTCCTCTAATCAAAGCCGAAGCTCTGTCGAAATAGAAGAAAAGCAACCTTTTGCAGACTCCAAGGAAATATTACATCTTTAATGATAAATAAATGGTATCTTAATGTACCCTTGAATATATTATTTAAGAAAAAGAAGCTTCTGCAAAAGTCTCAGCTTTAAAAATAAACATTTAAGACTAAATTCCTTTAAATAAAATTTCCATAAAAGTACTTGTATAAAAACAGAGTACAACTATATTAAAAGAAGTAAATCTGATTGCATTTGCAAGTAAAATCTGCCTTCCTAGTCTAAGCTGAAACAAATGGAACAAAACAACTAAATTACAGTTCTGCAAACTCTTGTCCTAGCAATAAAACCAAAGTTTCCAAAATTAAACGTGCACTTCTCCAATTTTTAACCTGGTATTTTCCTGCAAGCCAGACATACCATTTTCTCTGTCTCACCTTGCTCTTGCCCTTCCTTGTGCATCTAAATCAACAGTTGGCACTCCAACACGAACAAACCGTGTAAAAAGAGACTGCTCCATGTTAGAGTACTTTTGAAAAGCCATGTTCTTAATGACTGGTGGCAACTGATGATGGTCACCAATCATAATCCACCGCTTCAAACGACTGAATCCATCCTGGGGATTCTAGAATTAAACAATTACACAATTCTAACCGTTACAGTATAATGGAGGCATTCAATTACAACACATTAATAGTCAAATTGGCTCTTAGTCTAAGACCTAAATTTTAACATTTGTTCTTAAACTAGAGTGAACTACAGTAATTTTAAAGATTATTAGCTTCTTACTAATCTACTACCAAAAAGAGGAAGTAATATTTAAAAATAAAATCTTGTTTCTTACAAAGCAACAGGTAAGCTTATCTATTAGATCAGTAGAGAAAAATCATTATAAGTATCATATTACACTGTTTTAAAGGTCAAAAGTAACATTATCAGAGGACAAAAGGAAGACCTACAATTACAGAAATTACAGTAGTGAAAAAACTTGATTTCTACATCGCAATGTGACCCTAGAACAGTAGTTTAAACTTTCATTTTTTAATTCTAGATGGTGAATATGAACTGCTTGAAGTATCTGAAACAGTTTTAGTGCTCACATGTCCGAGGCACAAACAGAAACTTTCAACTGTCTCTGTAGCTCATGTGCTTCACTCGTTTACCTCTGAAATTCACACATGGCCTCTTCCACAATTGGGATGTACCTCTAATTAATCCTCACCCTGGCGCTTGGACTGAATGCTCTTCAGTGTGTTTGGTATGTCTCTTTCCAGTTCCTTATTATCCTTTGTGTACCTATACTGCATATTGACAGAGCTCATGGAGAAACATAGGTACAAAAATGCAAAAATGTGTGGCTAACATTATCCAGCAATTAGAATCCTGAAGATTTCCACTGAAGTTTTACACTTCAGACCCTTATTTCTTACACACTCCTGTCATATTTCCCTTTCCCCACATGATCACTATTCAGGATAGAGCCTAAAGTTCCTTTTATTGCTACTTGAAGTGTCATAGCTCTGAAGCCCTCTGAAACCAGAAAGCAAGGAAAACTGAACTCTGGACTATCCAGCTCATCAAACCTGAAGATGCCTTACTAAGTAAGCAGGAGGATGGAAATTATTTTCAATGGCATGGAGAAAGATTTATTTTCCTCTTTTTTCCTTCCCAAAAGGATACTGCTTTGGAGAAAACAAAGCATCCTATATAACCATTCTGCTCTTAACAGCAAATTCAATCTCAAAGAGCCCTCTTGTGTCAGCATGGGTGGCATGGAGCAGCACAGATTCCCCAGGCAGGTGCAAAGAAGGAACTTTATTTACAAAAAAACCAGCCTTTTTATGTTGTTAGTCGACCATTAGTTTACATACTTTTTAGGCACAACAAACCCACTTTAACCAACCACCAAACACCACAGTGCAAACACACAGCATGCCTCACCTCCTCTATTCTAGCTGAGTCACTCTCCCAGAGCCCTTCTCTGCTTGGCCTAAGTTACAGGCCAGAGCCATGATTTTACCAGGCCTTCCCTTCCAAAGCTGTACCTATCGGCTACACCCTCTAAAGAAATCTTGTTTTTAAGAACTTCTTACTCTGAATTTCAAGTGCAAGAAATCACGTACTATTACGCTGTAAGCCTAGTTCTTTAGGTTTTGTTAAAAAAACAAACAAACAAACAAACAAACTTAATTTTCAAGAACTGTTTGGATGGCTCTTGTAAGTAAGGTCATGGAATATCCACCAGCATATGTCTCTATGGTGAAATAGTCTGCTTTAATTACACAAAACTCCTCAACTTCTGCATTGATCATATGCTTATTTCCACCCACCAGCCTGATGCACCTCTTTATTCAGTGCTCACGCAAACATCTGAAAAACAGTTTAAGATGCTTATTTCATTAAACAGAATAATTTCATAACCAATGAAAACCATGGCAAAATTCACACAGGATTTACTCATCACACAGCACTGCAGTACAGTGTTGTTTTATGACCTGTGAGAAGCCTCACCCAACAGAGATTTGCTGTCCAAACACCCCAAACAAGACAGAGAAATACATGCTCCTGTTCAGAGTTCAGGTAGTATTTGAGGTTTAGAGAGTGAATTACTTGCCTACCTTCTCAGAACTCAGCAGTCTTTAACACATGGAGAAGGTGTTAAAGAACTATATCAACATTCCTAAAACTTAAAAACCTACAGAGTTAAATAGCAGCTGAAAATAGGACTCCAGCTTTCATAGCAATATGGTTAACTTGGCCATGCACATTCTTTTGTGCACTAGGCCCATACTGAGTTAATTCCCTGCAATCCTGTTCTACTCTCCATCGTTAAAGAGCAAGGTGAAGAAATTATGAGCTGCAATTACACATGTATCAATTATTTCATGGAGTTTCTATCATGTCTTTTTCAACTGAGATCAGTTTTCTTTTAGAATGAATACTTACAATTATTGCTTTTCAATTAAAATATCTGCTCCAAGCAAAACTAATGAAATTTTAGAATACGAGCAAACACAAACTGTGTTTTTCAGAAATCCACTAGAATAAGAATCAAAGCAACAGTATAGACTGTCTCCATTTTTACTGACTTCTCACACATCAGCTTATTTGCAGCCTAAGAGTTTGCCTAAAGTTCCTGAGGAAGCCCATACTCCACTTCCACAGGTGAAATTTCATCTCATAATGTAATACTACAGAGGTAACAGAGTCACAGATGTGCAAGAAGCACATTTTGCTTACTTATGAAATCCTTTAGCTCTTAAAAAAAGAAAGGGATGTCTCTCAAGCTCAGATTGCTAAAAGCAACCCTAGATCATCTTCACTAGAGGCACCAAAAATTTCAAGGCAGACTGAGTGAATGTGTTGAATTTAGAATGACCAGAGTAAATGTAAAGGGGTAACCATTTCTTTCTGGGGAGTTCCAACATCAGTTATGATGTCCTCTCGGTACCTGGTTGCAGTTTTCCTGAAAGGTCTATGTGGCTCCTATCTCTCTCTCTGTTAACCTTGACTGAAAGTGAGCAAACACCACAAGCAGTCAGGGTGACACAGAGCAATTATATAAGCTTTATGTTCTTGGGAAACAAAACTGTTATTAAATAAGAAGTCATAACTTTAACAATTTTTAAAATTAACAATAATCACTATCAAATAAGAGTACAAGTAGCAAAGCCAGGATTCTAGTTTACATAAATATCTCCACTTTTTTATTTTCAGAACGAAAGCCTGCTAACCCTACCAGTAAGTCAATAAAAACAATATATTTAGAACCTTTTAGCTCAATACTTAAAAAAAAAAAAAAAA